CAGGGAGCCCGATGCGGGACTCGATCCTGGGACTCCAGGATCATGACCTGAGCCAAAGGCAGTCGCTTAACCAACTGAGCCACCCAGGCGCCCTAGACCACCAAGTCTTAAATCAATTTGAAAGTACTAAATCAATTAAAGTATATTTTCTGTTTATAATTGAATAAAACTAGAAATCGTAATAGGAACAAAACTAAAAATTCAGTGGATATTAAATAACACACTCTTAAATGACCAATGGGTCAAAAAAGAAATCACAAGGGAAATTAGAAAATACCTTGAGACAAATGAAAACGAAAACAGAACACAGAAACTTATAGGACACAGCAAAAGCAGTACAAAGAGGGAAACTTAACAGCTGTAGACATCTGCATTAAAAAAAGAACAATTCAAGTAAATAACCTTACTGTATACACTAAGGAACTGGAAAAAGAAGAGCAAACTAAACCCAAAACTAGCAGAAGGACGGTAACAATCAAAACGAATCCAAGGGGCGCCTGAGTGGCTCAGTCGTTAAGCATCTGCCTTCTGCTCAGGTCTGATCCCAGAGTCATGCGATCAAGTCCCACATGGGGCTCCCTGCTTGGCGGGAAGCCTGCTTCTCCCTCTCCCACTCCCCCCTGCTTGTGTTCCCTCTCTCGCTGTGTCTCTGTCACATAAATAAATAAACACATACATACATACATACATACATACCAACCAACCGACCCAGGACTAGTGTAGTTCACTGGTGAACTACACTAAAGAATTATATCAATCCTCCCCAACATCTTCCAAGAAGTTTGAAGAGAGAATACTTTTTTTTTTTTTTAAAGTATGCTCTATGCCCAAAGTGAAGTCAAGAGTCACATGCTCTACCAACTGAGCCAGCCGGGCATCCTGAGGGAATACGTTTTTTAAGATTTTATTTATTTCGGGTGCGGGGGGGGGAGCAGACTCCCTGCTGACCAGGGAGCCCGATGTAGGGCTCGATCCCAGGACCCCGGGATCATGACCTGACTGGAAGGCATTGCCCAACCATGCAGACGCCCCCAGAGGGAATACTACTTCTTAACTCATTCTATGAGATCAACATACTCTGATAGCAAAGCCAGACAAAGACACCACAAGAAAACTACAGGCCAGTATCATTTATGAATGAAAATGCAAAACTCCCTAACAAAATACTAGCAAACCGGGTCACGTGGGTGGCTCAGTCGGTTAAGCATCTGCCTTCAGCTCAGGTCATGATCTCAAGAGTCCTGGGATCAAGCCCCACATTGGGGTTCCCTGCTCAGGGGAGAACCTGCTTCTCCCTCTCCCTCTGCTCCTCCCCCCACGCTCTCACTCTCTCTTGCTTGATCTCAAATAAATAAATAATCTTTAAAACCAAAATACTAGCAAACCAAATTCAGCAGCATATAAAAAGGATTATATACCACAGCCAAGCGGGGTTTATCCTCAGGATGCAAGAGTAGTTCAACACACGCAAATCAATCAATGTAATACACCACACTAACAGAGGATGGAAAAAACCCACACCATTATTTCACTGAAATGCAGAAAAGATGAGGAAATCCAATGCCTTTACACAACAAAGGCACTGAATAAACTCGGAACAGAAGGGCACTTCTTCAACATGATGAAGGACATATACAAAAAATCCACAGCGAAAATCATACTCAATGGTGAAAAACAATAAGGATGTGTACTGTTGCCACTTCTGCTCAACACAGTACTAGAAATTCTGCCAGAATAATGAGATTAAAAAAGGAAGAAAGGAAAAAGAATGAATGAGCAACCAAATTAGAAAGAGATAAAGTTACTTGTTTGCAGATGACAGGCATGATCTTCTATGTATAAAATCCTAAAGAATCCACACAAAAAACCTATTAGAGCTAATAAATTTACCAAAGTTGCAGGCTACGAAATCAACACACAAAAACTGGTTATATTTCTATATAGCAGCAGTGTACAACTTAAAAAGGATATTAAGAAAATAATTCCATTTAAAGTATCATCAAAAGGAATAAAATACTTAGGAATAAATCTAACAGAAATGAAAAGACGTGGGATGCCTGCCTGGCTCAGTCGGTAGAGCATGTGACTCTTGATCTCAGGGTTGTGAGTTCAAGGCCCATGTTGGGTGTAGAAATTACTTTAAGAGAATAAAAAAATCTTAAAAAAAAGAGAAAGAAATAAAAGGCTTTTACACTTAAAAACTACAAAATGTTACTGAACAAAATTAATGACAACTTAAATAAATTTAAAGACAAGGCTTGTTCATGGATTAGAAGATGTTCAAATGACAACACTACCCCAAATCATATACAGAGTCAATTCAATCCCTATCAAAATCACTATGGGTTTTTTTTTTTGACCCAGAAATAAAACCACCCTCCTAAAATCCCTAGGGAATTCCGAGGAACCATAAACAGCCAAAACAATCCTGAAAAAGATTAAAATTGGAAGACTCACATTTCCCAATTTCAAAAATGACCACAAAGCTATAATAATCAAAACAGGATTAGGCTGAAGGTAAGACAGACATACAGACTCATGGAATAGAATGGAGAACTCAGAAATAAATCTTGTATGGTCAACTGACTTTTAACGAAGGTGTCAAGACCATTCAACACACCATTCTTCAACAAATGGTGCTGGGAAAACTGGATATCCACATACAAACGAATGAAGTTATACCTTTTCCTTATATATAAAAATTAACTCAAAATGGATCAAAGACTTGAACTAAGAGCTAAAACTATAAACTCTTAGACGAAAACATGGGGGAAAGCTTCATTACTACAATGGATTTGAAGATAGTTTAAGTACGACACCAAAAGCACAGATATCAACAACAAAAAGATAAAGTGAACTTAATCAAATTTTAAAACTTTTGTACATCAGAGGACACTATCAAGGGAGTGAAAAGATGACCTGTAGATGGGAGAAAACATTTTAAAATCACACATATAGTAAGGGTCTAGTATCCAGAATATACAAAGAACTCTTACAACTCAACAAAGGGACAACCCAATTAAAAAACTAGTAAAGGACGTGAATAGACATTTCTCCAAAGATGACATTCAAATGGCCAAAAGGCACATGAAAAGATGCTCAACATCACTTACCATCTGGGAAATGCAAACTGAAATCATAATGAGATACCATATGCCCACTAGGATGGCTATTCTCAAAAAACAATAACAAATGTTGAAGAGGATGTGGAGAAACTGGAACCTTTGTGCATTGCTAGTGGGATTGTCAAATGACCCAGCTGCTGTGGAAAAGTTTGATGGTTCCTCAAGATGTTAAACCTAGATTAGCATATGCCTGAGCAATTGCACTCCCAGGTATATACTGAAAAGAACTGAAAATGGACTCAAACAGATACCTGTATACTGGTGTTCATAGCAGCATTATTTACAATAGCCAAAAAATGGAAATAAGCCAAATGGCCATCAGAAGATGAACAGATAAACAAAATGTGGTATAACCATACAAGGAAATATTATTCAGTCACAGATAAAACCTTTAAAACATTATACTAAGTAAAATAAGCTGAACACAAAAGAACAAATATTGCATGATTCCACTTACATGAGGTATCTAGAACAGGCAAATTCATAGAGACAGAAAGTAGAATAAAGGTTACCAGGGGCTGAGGGAAAGGAAAATGGGGAGTTATTTACTCAGTACAGAATTTCTGTTTGAGATGATGAAAAAGTTCTGGAAATACTGATGGGTACATAACACAGTCAATGTACTTAATGCCACTTAAACTGGCCACTTAAACTGAACATTTAACAATGGTTAAAATAGTAAATTTTATGTTATGTGAATTTTACCACAATAAAAAATAAGTGGGAGAGAAAACAGATGCCTTTATGTACTACCAAGTGACCAACACAGCATCTGACACATAGTAGGTCTTCAAGAATATGTACTGAATGAACCCATCATGTCTAACACTTAATTCCTCATTATTTATCAACTTAAATTTTTCTGAGGGTTTACATAAGAGATGGTGGATTAAGAATGTGATTAAACTACAATCAGGAGCAGAACAAAAGTACCAGCAATAGGGAGATGAAAAGGCATGAATTTAGCCTAATATAGAGAGCAAAACCAAACTAAAAGCAGAAATAAAGGGGTGCTTGGGTGGCTCAGTCAGTTAAGCTCGGGTCATGATCCCAGGGTCCTGGGATTGAGCCCCGCATCAGGTTCCCTGCTCAGGAAGGAGTTTACTTCTCCCTCTCCCTCTGCTGCTCCCCCTGCTTGTGCTCTTTCTCTGTCAAACAAACAAACAAATGCAAGAATAAAGGCAGAGATCTGAAAGAGTCAAATGTGCCATCACTTGAATTTTTTCTTCAAGATTTTTATTTATTTATTTGAGACAGAGGCAGACATAGTGAGAGAGAGCACAGGAGCGAGGAGAGAAGTAGGCTCCCAAGTGAGCAGGGAGCCCGATGGCGGATCATGACCTGAGCCGAAGGCAGACGTTTAACTGACTGAGCCACCCAGGTGCCCCCCGATCACCTGAGTTCTGTGGGTCTTTTTCTCCTACCAGTTCCCAGTCCCAACGAGGTTTCTCTAAGTTTGTTTTCAGCTAAGCATATCCAATATAAAGCCACCCTACAGTCATCACTAACACCCAATGACAGAGTGTTTCACTGTTTCCTGGGGAAAAAAAAGAAAGATGAGACTCTTACCATCTCATAAGCAAATGTTTCTTGTCTGCAAACCCGATCTATTGTTATGGTTTCTTCCCGCTGTTCCAGAAGTTTCTTTCTAACCCTGTTAGAAGAACAAGAAAAATCAAACTTCAATACCTTTACTGGGTCTTCCAAGATATCTTTAATACTTAACTTTTATTTGAACTAATTTTTTTTTTTTTTGAGAGAGAGGCAGGGGCAGAGGGAGAAGAAGAGAGAATCCCAAGCAGGCTCCATGCCCAGCAATCTCTGAGATCCTGACTTGAACTGACATCAAGTCGGACACTTAACTGACTGAGCCACCCAGGCACCCCTTGAACGAATTTTGAACTAATTTTAGACTTATAGCTAAAAGAAGCTGTAAAAATAGTAGAGTCCCCTTATATCTCTCACCCGGTTTTCCCTATATTAACACCTTACATGATCATAATTATCAAGATCAGAAAATTAACATTAATACAGTATTAGTAACTCTAAGTCTTTTTTGAATTTTACAAGTTTTTAAATGTAATGCCTTTTCTTCTGCCCCAGGATCCTCTGTAGGACACTACACTGCATTCCCTCCATTTGTCTGCAGTACGGCAGTTTTCCTCGTCTTTCATCACTTTGACACTTCTGAAGAGCTCTACTTTGTTATTTTGTAGAATGTCCTTGAATTTGCACTGACTGCTGGTTGCTTAAGACTGGAGTAATGCTGCGCATTTTTGGCATGAATACCACAAGAATGATGTCCCCACGGTGTCATACCAAGAGGTTCATGATGTTGATATTAACATGTCTTGTTACTGGTGATGTTTACTTTGGTTAAGTTCCTGTCTGCCAGATTCCTACGCTAGAAAGATACTTTCTTTTCTTTTCCTTTGTACTCGCTAAGTATTTAGGGGAAGATACTTTGAAACCATGCAAATCTTGTTTCTCCTCACTTTCACCCAGGGTTTTTAGCATTCAAAAGATTTTGTCTGCAACATTTATTACTGTGGAATATGCCTAAGCGCGATTCCCTATTTCCCTCCTTCTACATTTATTCACTGGTATTATGAGGAAGACCTATCTCTCTCCTCCCATTTATTTGATCATTTATATTAATATGAACTCGTATTTATTTCATTCTGTAGGTTAAAATCTAATACTATCATTATTCTATTGATCAAACTGTTCTACCTGTGGCTGTTAGGCACTCCTTTGAGTTGGCTCCTGTCTTTCAACAAACCCTCATCCTTTTTTTTTTTTTTTAAGATTTTATTTATTTATTTGAGAGAGAGAATGAAGATAGAGAGAGCATGAGAGGGGGGAGGGGCAGAGGGAGAAGCAGACTCCCCGCTGAGCAGGGAGCCCGATGCGGGACTCGATCCC